TACCTCTCTCCATTGTTCCTATTTTTTAATCAGTCACTGATCCATGAGAGGACCTTCCCTCTTATCCCAGGACTGCTTATTTTGCTTAAGAGCCTTTGGTGGGGTCCACCTGAAAGGCTTTCTGAAAGCCCAAGTATACTATATCCACTGGATCACCCTTGTCCACATGTTTGTTGACCCCTTCAAAGAATTCTAATAGACTGGTGAGGCATGATTTCCCTTTACAAAAAACATGTTGACTCTTCTTCAACAAATCACGGTCATCTCTGTGTCTGATAATTCTGTTCTTTACTATAGTTTCAACCAATTTACCTGGAACTAAAGTTAGGATTACCAACCTGTAACTGGCAGGATCACCTCTAGAGCCTTTTTTTTTTTTAAATCAGTATTACATTAGCTACCCTCCAGTCATCTGGTACAGAGGCTGATATAACTGATAGGTTACATTACTAATTACCACAGTTAGTAATTCCGCAATTTCATATTTGAGTTCTTTCAGAACTCGAGTGAATACTATCTGGTCCTGGTGACTTACTACTGTTATGTTAACAATTTGTTCCAAAACCTCTTCTACTGATGCCTCAGTTCCTCAGATTTGTCACCTAAAAGAATGGCTTGGGTGTGGGGATCTCCCTCACATCCTCTGCAGTGAAGACCGATGCAAAGAATTCATGCTTCTCTGCAATGGCCTTGGTCTTCCTTGAGTGCTCCTTTAGCACCTTGACGGTCCACTGGCCCCACTGACTGTTTAACAAAGGGGTGGGCAAACTTTTTGGCCCGAGGGCCACATCTGGGAATAGAAATTGTATGGTGTGCCATGAATGCTCAGAAAATTGGGGTCGGGATGTGGGAGGGGGTGAGGGCTTTGGTTGGGGGTGGGGCTCTGGGTTGGGTTGGGGATGAGGAGGTTGGGGTGTAGGAGAGTGCTCCAGGCTGGGATCGAGGGGTTTGGAAGGCAGGAGGGGGGGATCAGGGCAGGGGGTTGGGTGTGGAGAGAGGCTCAGGGGTGCAGGCTGCGGACGACGCTTACTTCAAGTGGCTCCCAGAAGCAGCGGCATGTTCCTTCTTTGGTTCCTACGTGGAGGCATGGCCAGGCAGCTCTGCACGCTGCCCCGTCCACAGTCATCACCTCTGCAGCTCCCATTGGAGCACCGGAGGGGGGCCAGGCCGTGGCTTCCGGGAGCCACGTGGAGCAGCCCCCCGACCCTGCTCCGCAGCTGGACTGCTGGAGGGGGGGGCATGCCACAGCTTCCAGGAGCCACGTGGAGCGGCCCCCAACCCTGTGCCCCAGCTGGAGCGCCGGAGCGGGGCCATGCAGCTGTTTCTGGGAGCCACGTGGAGTGGCCCCCGAACCTGCTCCCTGGCTGGAGCGACGGATCACAGGAGCGGGGCAAGCTCTAGACCCTGCTCCCCAGCGGGACCTTGAGGGCCAGCTTAAAACGGCTGGCAGGCCAGATCTGGCCCATAGTTTGCCACCCCTGGTTTAACAGGTTTCCTACTTCTGATGTACTTAAAGGTTTTTTTGCTGTTAAGTTTTGTCTTTAACTAGCTGCTCACCAAAGTCTTTCATGGCTTGTTTTATTATACATTTACACTTGACTTTATGTTCCTTTCTATTTTCCTCACTAGGATTTGACTTCCCATTTTTAAAGGATGTCTTTTTGCCTCTAACTGCCTCATTTACTCTGCTGGTTAGCCATGATGGCATTATTTTTGTTCCTCTTATTGTCTATAATTCTTTTTTTCTTCTTCTTTGGGATATTCATTTTGTTTGAGCCTCTATTATGGTGTTTTCAAATAATCTCCATGCAGCTTGCAGCCATTTCACTCTTGTCACTGTTCCTTTTAATTTTCAGGTAACTAGATTCCTCATTTTTGTGTAGTTCCCCTTTTTGAAGTTAAATGCTACTGTGGTGGGTTTCCTTGGTATTTTCCCTCCTACAATTATATTAAATTTAATTACATTGTTGTATCTATTATTGAGCAGTTCAGCTATATTGACCTCTTGGACCAGATCCTGTGCTCCACTTATGACTAAATCAAGAATTGCCTCTCCCTTTGTGGGTTCCAGAACTAGCTGCTCCAAGAAGCTGTCATTCATGGTGTCTAGAAATTTCATCTCTGCATCCCTTCCTGATGTGACAGATACCCAGACAATATGGGGATAGTTGAAATCCCCCATTATTATTCCATTTTTCACCTTTGTAGCCTCTATAATTTCTCTGAACATTTCAAATCACCATCCTGTTTAGGTGATCGGTAGTATATTCCTACTGCTATACTCTTATTTTTCAAGGATGAAATTTCTATCCATAGAGATTCTAGGGTGCACTTTGATTCATTTAAGATTTGTTTTTTATTTAACTGTGCTTTCTTTTACATATCGTGCCACTCCCCCACCCATGCAACCTACTCTGTAATCCTATACATTTTGTATCCTGGTAATACTGTGTCCCATTGATTATCCTCATTCCACCATATTTCTGCAATGCCTGTTATATGAATATCCTCATTTAATGCCAGGCACTCTAGTTCACCCATCTTACTATTTAGACTTCTAGCATTTAAAAAAAATACACAAGACAAAACCAAACTAAAATGACCTAGAAAATTTAGAGTAGGCAACAGGGGAGATTCTGTAACACATGTAGAAACCCACAGGCACAGAAAGCAAATAAACAGCATGGATTTAAAAACAAAACAAAATAAGAGTACAGAAACAAACAGCTGCACCTATTGCATTAAGCCATTTTTTCTTCATATGTCCTATGGTTGCAATAGAGAAGCTGTGGAACGTGGAGCAGGAGGCTGGAAGAGGAGATGCCCATAAGCAGGGTTTGATCTAAAGGATTAGCCTATAACATGGCCTCAGCTAGGTGCCAAAACTTAGAAAAATATTCTCACCAGTTCAGCTGGATCAGTGGCAGTTGGGGGAGACCATAGATAGAGAAGACCCTTGTGGTTGACCTGTTTTAACCAACATTTTAAGTAGACTTGCTTCCAGATAGAGCCTGTCTACACTAGAGCTCCCGCTCATGCCACCATTGATTCAGCTGAAAGACACTTCCTCGGGACAGAGACTATCATTGGCAGGAGACTGGACAGTCATTTTTAGAGACATGAGGCAATACATGTATAAGTGTCCACATAAATTATATCAGAATATTCAATTGGGGGGGACAAAACACAACTTAGAAATATTGTGTATTGATCAAACATATTTCAAGACACAAAACAACCTGGAGAAGAATACTGACAGTGTCAGGAATGAGTAAAAGCAATTAGAAAGAACCAAGCTCACCAAAATGCTGATCTACCTTGGCACAAGATAGCTGTAGATATTTATATTTGCTCCTAGTAGATTATTTATCAGTGTATCCACAAGTCCTATGTATGCCAGAGGCATATGGTTACTGCACTGATTTCCAAACTAAGAGCTGTGTTTGCAAGATATGGGATCCCTAAAGAACAACAAATGACAATATTCCATTTGTAAGAAGACAAATGTGCAGCTGCAGCATTGTAAGAACTGCAATTCACTCCAGTCTGACATCTACAATCTAACAAAATGGATGAGAGAACCAATCACACAACTAAGTCACTGTTTCATAAAATTTCTGCCTCAGTCAAAATCCCACCTCTAACTTTGCCAGACCAGCCCAGTGTAGCCTGCAGCCCAGGAATGGGCATGGTCGTGAGAACAGTTCTAATCCATGGCGATGCCACAACCCAGCAAACGGTAATACCCACAACTGAGAGGGACACAAGCAACAGAAGACACCTCTTACCTCTTCATCTAGTGACCTAAGGCAGACACACCAGCCAGCTGTAGGGTCAAGAATAGGTGACACCATCAGAAGACATATTGTTATCAGAATCAGAACCTGTCACTTTCGAAACACTGGTGAAATCCTAGTTTTACTGAAATAGGAATTTTGCTTCCCAAGGGCATGTCAGGCACATCATATCCCACACTGGGCAAATTTTTAACTGGGCACGTTTTAACATCAGCCATGCATGCCATCCAAAGAGAGAATCGTTTGAAAACTGAACACTGAATCAGCAGTACAAGCTGATCTCTAATTAAGTCAGTGCTAGGAACCTGTGACTCATAAGACCATAATGCAGAAAGCAGTCACCACCACTCATAAGAGATTTTCATGTTTCAAGTCTAGTGACAAAGACATTGCTTGCTATTATGTTAATTGGATGTGGGATCTTAAAGTGCAGAAAGAGGTGAAATCTATTGTAAACTGACACTTTAACATGCAAGTGTGACCAGCATAGGAGCACTTCCCCCTCCTTCCACACTCCAGTTGCAGAGCCAGCACACAAAGAGCTATGTTCCATTTGAGCTGCAGAGTAGATGTACTGCTCCAGCTCTAGCCAATAAAGTGTTTACAGTTTAATTTTCTCATCTGGGTGCTTAGGAAAGGAGTGTGCGGGGCAGGAGAGGCCCATGGCCAGGTTGTCCTTACAACTGCTCGGCCAGAGCAAAGCTGACCACTTGCAAAATGTCATTAACTCAATACCCCCACACACTGGGTATTCATGTGAGCAGGCAGATTCAGTTACAGAGGCACACTAGGTGGGCATTTACTCTTCTATTTTTAAAGACATAAATGTGCACCCTGGGTTTAGCCCTCAGGCTCCTGGGAACGGTGCCTTTGGTCAGCAAGGCTGGAAACCAATGACTTAAACCCCAGCGCCTGGGCGGGCCCCAGGGAGCCTGTAGCGAGGCTGTCTCCAGCCAAAGAGAGCAGCGCCCGGTCGTCGGGCCGTGTCACATCGCGCGGGTGCCGTGCGGTTAGGTGTCAGGTAGCCCTGCGCGCTCCGCTGAGCCCGCCCGCAGCCGCGGGGCTGCACACACCGGCCAGGAGCGGGGCCCCCTGCCCGGTCGGGCAGCGGCTCCCTCCTCCCCCACCAGCACCCTGAGCCACGTCCCGCCCCGGCTGAGAGGAAGCACCGCTGGGCCCGGGGCGGGGCAGCGCGACACCTACCCGCCGGGCAGCGCCTCGGCTCCCGCTCGGCCCCTTCCCCGTCTCTTCCGCACGGCCGGGGGGCGCCGCCCGCAGCCTGCGCGCCGAGCCCGGCAGAGGCGCGGCTCTGGGGCGCGGGCAGCGCCTGCGGGCCGTGGCGCCAGACGAAGCGGAGCAGTGGGAGGCCGGGGGCCGCACGCCAAGGGGAAGCCGGGGGGTCAATGCGGCTGCCGCGAGCGGCCGGGACAGGCACAGCCCTGCGCGGGCCGCCCCTCCCCGCGTGTCACTTACCCCCGTGCGCCGCAGGGGTCCGCCTCTGCCCGAGCCCTGCCCCCGGCCGGGCCCGGCCGCGGTCCCCCAGTAGGGGGAGGAGGAGTCCGACGCTGCAGCTGCAGCCGGGCCTGACGTCGGCCCACACAGCTCAGCTAGACCGCGCTGCCGGCCCCATCGGATACCCTCGCCTCCCTCCGCCGCTCCCCCTTTCCTTTGCCCCGTCTTGCTCGCGCTTCCCAGAACCGCTTGGGCACCCAGCCTCCCCGCCTCCTCCGCCGGGCACTCCCGCTGGCGCACACGCCTTGCCAGCTGTAGGGATTTTTCCACCAGCCGCAGAGTCTCCTCCGAATGTGTAAGAAGCGCCTAGTGGCCCCAAGGCTGCGGCTCTCCCAGAGCCCTCGGGGGACACCGCAAGCAGGTGGGCGAGAGCCTTGCCACAAGCCCTGCACTTGCCTCCAGCTTCCCGCACCCCCGGGGTCAGTAGCGAGTGAGGACGGAGGCAGGTAGGCTCAGCCCGTCTGGCCTTCAAGATACCAAACGCTTTGGAGCAACACCTGACTGGCCGCCAGGCAGGAAAGGATTTGGGAGAAAGGGAGCGCTTGGGAAGAAAGGGTGGAGTGAAAGAGGCGCAGACCATGGAAAGGGGGGCAGGGGGGGCTTTGGAGCCCTGGGAAGGGCCTGTGGAGGCAGGGGACCAGGGCGAGGCTGAGGGCTACGCTGGCATTTCACTGAGATTTTACACTGTACTAATATTTTAAAACTCCCAAAGGCAGGACAAAGTGTTACAACAAGGCAGGGGCACATCCAGGTGGAGGGAACAGGGGGAGTGGGGGAAAAAAGGCGCCACCCGCTGCAGCACTCTTACTGATGGGGCGGCGGTCAGGGTCTTCGGTGGTACTTCGGCGGCAGGACCTTCACTCGCTCCACGGGTCTTCGGCGGCATTTCGGCGATGAAGCTTCAGTGCCACCGAAGACACCCGGAGCTAGTGAAGGGCCCACAGCCGAAGACCCGGAGCGCCGCCCCGTTAGTAAGAGTGCCGCAGCGGGTGGCGCCTTCTTTTTTTTTCGCTCCCAGGTGAGTAAAATTAAAAAGGCGCCACTTGTGCTCGGTGGGGAAGCGGCTGCTGCCCCGCTCCCCTCTCCCCCCCGCCAGCTACACTGCTGCAACAAGGAAGGGGTGAGCGTGAAAAGGAACAGCTACAAAAGGGGCAGTGAGTGCATGCTGCACAAAATGTGAGTTCTTCTTTGAGTGCTGTCCCTGTGGGTGCTCCACTGCAGGTAACGGTGCGTCCCAGCGCCGTTGATCGGAGATTTTTGGTAGCAGTGCCTGGTCGGGACACACGTGCTCAGCTGCTGTCTCGTGGCGTCATTAGGATCTGCCTGAGCGTGCGTGTCCCACACCCCTCTCAGTTCCTTTTCAACTGTCCTCGTCTGAAGACGGGACTCGGGGCAGTGCTGAACCTCTTCCCTGGTCACTGAAGGAAATAAGAAAAAAGAATTAGAATTAGTTAGATAGAAATATCCTAGTGCTCTCCCTTCCTTTAGAATAGTTTGTTAGTTTAAAAAAAAAAAAAAAAACTTTTTCCCTCACGTTCGTCTCCTGTTGAGACTCTCTCCCATGATGCTGGGGTCCCCAGGCTTTAAGAAATGTGACTCCTGTAAGGAGCCTATACCGCGGTCTGACGGACGCTCACGGTGTATGAAGTGCCTCGGAGAGACACACGTCCCTGCCAAGTGTCTCCATTGTACGAGCCTGAAAACCAGGGCTCGTTGTGACAGGGACTTGCAGCTAAAAATGCTCCTGATGGAGAAATCTCTGCAGCCGCATATGGAGACGGGCACAAGTAAACCCTCTCCTTCACGCTCCCCTGCTAGGTCGGAACCGATCAGGAGCGCGGCTTCACCCTCTCAAGTGAAGAGGCAGGAAGCCCCAATGTCTCCACACGGAGACTTTCAAAAGGGTAAAGAGTCTCCTGTGAGATCTTTACCCTCGGTGCTGCAACTGCTATGAACAACTGATTCGACTTCCTGAACGGCTTAGTGCGCTCGATGTAGAAGGTTAGTGCTCGCCAAACGTCAAGGGAGTGCAGCCGCTGCTTGCGGCTACTGGCATGAGGCTTATGGTAAAAAACAGGCAGGAAAATTTCCTGACTAGTATGGAAGTGTGACACCACCTTGGGAAGAAAGGCCAGGTGAGGCCTGAGTTGCACCTTATCCCTGTGGAAAACCATATAAGGTGGATCAGAGGTAAGGGCCTTTAACTCAGACACCCTCCTTGCAGATGTAATGGCGACCAGAAAGCTACCTTCCACAACAGATATAGAAGGGAGCAAGTCGCCAGCGGTTCGAATTGGGGCCCCATTAGCCTGGAGAGGACCAGATTAAGGTCCCACAAGGGAACAGGCTGTCTGATCTGGGGATGTAGGCAGTCCAGACCCTTGAGGAAGCAACCAACCATAGGGTTGGCGAAGACGGAGTGACCAGACACTCCTGGGTGGAAGGCTGAGATAGCAGCCAGGTGTTCCCTTATGGAGGACGTTGCCAGGCCTTGCTGCTTCAGGTGCAGAAGGTACTCTAGGATGAGAGGTACAGGTGCCTGGAGAGGGGGTGTACGATGTTGTCACACCAACAAGTAAATCTCTTCCACTTCACCAGATATGTGGCTCTAGTGGAGGGCTTCCTGCTGCTGAGGAGGACCTCCCTTACTTGTTCTGAAGCTTCCAAGCCGTGAGGTGCAGGGACTGCAGGTCGGGGTGATGAAGGCGACCGTGGTCCTGAGTGATCAAGTCAGGGAGGAGAGGCAACGTGACCGGGGCGCCCACTGACAGTTCCAGGAGCGTGGTGTACCAATGTTGTTGAGGCCAAACCACGCTGGAGCCACCAGAATTATCTCTGCCCCGTCCCTGTGGACTTTTGAGTATGACCTGGTGCATGAGAGGGAACGGGGGGAAGCGTAGAGCAGGCGACCTCCCCATGGTAGCAGGAATGCATCCGTGATTGATCCTGGGCTGTGTCCCTGGAAGGAGCAGAACATGGGGCATTTCCTGTTGCTGTGGGTGGCAAGCAGGTCAACCTGGGGAAACCCCCACCTTTGGAAGACAAGGTGTATGACATCCAGCCAGATGGACTACTCGTGCATGTGGAAGGACCTGCTGAGGCCGTCCGCCAGCGCATTCTGAACTCGTGGTAGAAAGAATGCTTCCAGGTGAATGGAGTGGGCTATGCAGAACTCCCACAGCTGGAGGGCTTCCTGACATAGGGGAGAGGACCAGGCTCCACCCTGCTTGTTGATATAAAACATGGCCGTGGTGTTGTCCATTAGAACTGCCACGAGTTGGGCCTGAAAGGTCTGGCATGCTAGTTGCACCACCCTCAGCTCCTTGATGTTGATATGGAAAGAGAGCTCATCCTGCAACCAAAGGCCCTGTGTTTGGAAGTCTTCCAAATGCGCACCCCACCCCAGAGCTGACATGTCCGTTACCAGCAAAAAGGAAGGCTGAGGGCTGTTGAAGGGGACTCCTTCGCACACTGCCAGAGGGTCAAGCCACCATTGAAGGGACTTGAGCACCTCCCTTGGCATTATGACCACTGAATTCAAGCTGTTGCGTCCCGGGTGACATGCCAAAGCGAGCCATGCCTGTAGAGGCCTGGGCCTCAGTCTGGTGTGCTGGGTCACGTAAGTGCAGGCAGCCATGTGGCCAAGGAGACTCAGGCATCCCCTTGCTGTAGTGGTCAGATATTGCCAGAGGCCTTGAATGATGCCTGTGATGGCTTGGAATCGGGCCTCTGGCAAAAGTGCTCTTGCCTTGAAATGAGTCTAACAGCGCCCCGATGAATTCTATTCTTTGGGTCGGTTCCAAGGTTGACTTCCTCAAGTTGAGGAGGAGACCCAGTCGTTCGAATGTGTGTCTGACTAATCAGATTTGAGACTCCACCTGCCCCCTGGTGCGGCCTCTGAGCAGCCATTTGTCGAGGTAGGGGTATACCTGCACCTGCCTCCGACGGAGGAAAGCGGCCCCAACCGACATGCACTTGCTGAACACTCGAGGGGGCTGTTGAGAGGCCAAATGGTAGGACTGTGAGCTTGTGTTGATCACGAAGCATAGGAATCAGCGGTGTGCAGGTCAAATTGCTATATGGAAGTAAAAACAACAAGGAGTCTGGTGGCACCTTAAAGACTAACAGATTTATTTGGGCATAAGCTTTCGTGGGTAAAAACCTCACTTCTTCGGATGCATAGAGT